CTAGCCTTGTGCGAGAGTCACTGTTTCTAACGAGGAGTGGTAGGAAGTCCGAGACCCCCAGAGTGACACGCTCCGTTCCATAATTTAGTTGTCCCATTGAACCTAGGTGCCAGCTAGGTTGGGTGTCCACTATAGAAATTTTAGTCCAAGGGCTTTAGACCCATTCCTCGTTCTAACTTCTCCACAACCATTTGCTTACCCTCGGGTTAGCGAGTTAGCGACTGCTACGTTATCTTTTGACATCACGTAGTCAATCGAGATAACCCCGTTGTGAGAAATTGTTTAATGGTATTATGTCTATGACTTATAAGTCTAGACTTACCATTCCACATCTAACTCTGTACTTAGCCAATTTTGGCTTGACTATCGCAATGCACACAAATTGGAGGTACAAGCTTACCACTAGGAACATTCTCAAAATAATGGCATAGCCATTCGGCCTACTCGTTCGCGACACGAGTGTAAGGCTCTCAGCTTTGATCCCGTCGGATCTTAGCTATCACAAATTCATTTTTGAGAATTTCCGTTTAACCGACTGCACCGGCCTACGTAAAGACGTAGCCTTTAATGGACTTAGCGTCCTTTGATATCCATGTTATACTTTCCAAGTACGACTAGATATCCCACGTTGTGTAGTCTAAAGTCACGAGCATACCTTAAGTATCTCATAACTGCTATTGACTTCTAGTGCGCCACACTAGGGCTACTCGTATGTCTACCGAGTTCGTTAACCGCAAAGGCAATATCCGGCCTAGTACAACCCATTTGATACAATTAAACTACCGATAATCTAAATGTATTCTCCGTGAGAAATACAATCTCCGTGATTATCGGCTAGTTGTACATTAGTATCTAACGGTGTCCAAGCCACTTGATTAACGTCCTTTGCAAAGATTTAATCAACACAATGAGATTTGCTTAACACGAGACCATACGATCTTCTCCCAATTTTTAATCCCGAGGATTAAATCTGCCAACCCCATATCCTTCATGTCAAATCTCAAACTTAACATGTTCTTGGTAGAATTGATCCGGTGATCGTTACTACCCACGTTGAGTTTATCGTGTATAGACAAATAGTGATATCACTGTCTATCATGCGCAATACGTAGACACACTTTCACTTTCGTTTATACCAAACTCGTTGGTCATCACTGCATGATCAAAACCTCACATGCCAAACACTAAGGCAATTGTTTCGAACAATACAATGATCTCACCAATTACACACTTTCTTTCCATAGCGCGGAACCACAAAACCCCCAGGTTGTTCCATGTCTATTAAGAAAGCGATACATCCATTTCGATGAACTTCCAAGTCTCGCTAAACAGCTCTTTGGCAAGTATCATTCTAATGGATTCCATTCTCATCACAAGAATATATATCGAAGTAACTGTGGCACTCGCATTACATGTAATCTACAATTACAAGTCCGGCCATTTTACTTCAATATAACCAACCGGTTTTATCTTCCGACTAGTGATCCACTTAGGATCCTGAGGTCTTACGACCTGGAGGAAGAACAACCAGTTCCAAGTATGTTTCTCTAAGATCGAATCTACTTCACTCTCGGTAGCCTCTCTCGGGTTGGTCCATCTGTAGAAATCAACATTTCTACAAATGTTCGAGGCTCGTTTTCTAACAACCATGTCAGAAAATCCAATTTATTTTCTAGTAAACAAGTTAGATTGTGCGCATCACACTCTAACATGTACGTCAGAAAATCTGGACCAAAGGATTTTTCAATCCTAGCTCTCTTGCTGCGTCCAGCTTTGAGCTCGGGTTCTCTTTCATACCCTTCAACCATAGGTACGTCGAAAGTTCATTTCAACGTGCTAGGTCCCTTATTGAACCTTCAAAGATACATTCTTCGAAGGAAAGATGAATTTTTTTTTGATTCAATTTATTGCGTTCTTTGTACATCCAGACTATAGGACTCATGTACTAAGAACCAATACACACCTTGGCAAGACACCCCCACATTTCAGGTATTAGTAGGAAAATTTCCTACGTACCAACAATTCGTAAGAATTTGATGCGGGTAACCTTATTTAAAAGGTACTTACTTGTCCAAAGTATTGTCTCACCTCACATACTTTGAGGTAAACCCGAACTTATCAACGTCTTGATCCTTATGTTCGGCCACAACGTTCGATTGAGGTGAATACCGTACCGTACTCTCGAGTACAATATCAACGCTTGCGCCGAAATCACCAATAGGTGTTTCACTTTCACCAGATCGATCGTTCATAACCGCATTAATCCATGATTAATTTGGTTATCCTTTTATTCTTATAAAGAATAAATATGTGTTACACGTTAACACATTTCGTAGAAGCTAACAGATTAGCCTTCACAAATCCATTCGGTTTTTGATCGAAAGGCCACAAACTCGAATCAGTGCTTCCAAAATTGAAGCACCAATCAGTGTTTAGCACGAAACATGCTACCAAACTAACCCACCGATTCCAAAGCAATCTCTATTGCTTTAAATTATAAACTCACAGCAACATTCGGTTGCTTAATTTATAATTCCAGTGCTACTTAGCACTAGGATTATTGGTTAATTACACAATTAACCAAACTTCCTTTCGTGCTAATCACATAGCACCTTTACAACGCTAAATTAATAATTAGCCACACACGAAAGGTTTAAGCTAAGTAGATTAGCATTAGAACCAATCATAACCTAGCACCTTTATTGCTATTACCAAAGCACCAAATGCTTAAGTTTTCAACACCTAAAGGTGCAGCCACCAAGTGGCCGAAAGTGCCTAATCAAGCACTCTACCTAGTGCTTAATAGCACTGTTACAGTGTTGTAATTTGCACTTCAAAGTGCCAAATTACACTTTCCACTAGTGCTACAAAAGCACTATTCACCAAAACACAATTTGTCTCAAATTAAATATACTAGTATAATTTGGAATTTTTGATCAAGTTAATTATAACACAATTAACAAGAACGAATCAACCAAATCTTCCGACTAGTTGAATCACGATTATATAATCGTTTTCAGAATATTAATAAAATATTCAACAATTGAGCTGTGACGCTCACGATTATATAGCTATCCCAATTTTTGACATATTGACCCTTGAAATCCTTATGGTTCTACATGAACTTGAACCGAAGTTCGTTACGGGATTTCAACATGTAACACGTTAGTTACATTTCTTTCCGGCCGTTAAGCCATTTTAGCATTTTCCACATAATGCTCCGTGATGCTCTAAGCACCCTTATTGAATCTTATATATATTAAAAATATCACACAAGAATATTTTAAAATATACAAAGTTCAATACACACAAATGAAACAATTCATTTTATTCAACAATAAAATGTATCACAAGGATACTACAACATTTATTAAAAATAAAATGTATCACAAGGATACTACAACATTTATTAAAAATAAATAAATAGGAAAAACTACATTGGAAATAAATTCCTTATTCCTATCTCGTAGTAGTCCTTCAACCCGTGTGCCTTGTTCCATTTTCCAACCGTCCACTCCACGAAGGGTGGTCCATAGCGCACATCGGGGGTACCTCGGTTGTGACCTCACTCGTCCAACCATCCACATGTTTTAAACATAGCGAAGTTGTCCTCAACCTTTTCACCAGGATGACGGTTCGCTTCATAGTGGCATTTCTCCTTCTTCTCATAATCTTCTTGAAAGCTAAGCTTTCGCTTAAGTTTCCTTTGATTACAGTTGAAGTCATTGGTCACACTACCATAGTCCTCAGACCATGTAGTGGTCACACCATCGTAGGATCCTTCGTGGCTTTTAGCCGATCCACTAGGCAACACAATAGGTACCAATTGTGTGCCATTAGCCACTAGTCTACCGGATCGTGAACCAAAGTTCTCCGGAGCACTATCGTGTGATTTAGCAACTCCCATGGAAACATCATTTCCAACGTTGCTGCCATCAACTGGCATCACGGAATGTGCAACATCGTTGCTGTTCCGACCATTTGAATGTGCACCTCCGGCAACATTCACGGATCCAACACTTTTGGAGTCCATCGATTTGTTCATTATCAAAATAAATAAGGTTTTAAGATTGTTGGTGATAATGAACCACAATCGATTTAATATCCCAAAAAATAATATTTATATATACACACACTAGTATATAAAATATTATTGGATATTTATCCAAAATATATATATATATACACACAAATATATATAAAATGGATCCAAAGGTTATATATACATGTATATCTACGAAAAAGATACACCAATATATCAACCAAAATTGAAACTAATAATCCTCAGATTATGAGTCCAATCCAAATAATATATCAAAAGAGAGAGAACGGATTTTTGCTTAAAAGCATAATCCAACAACAAGAAAGAAGGAGAAGAAGAAAGAAATGTACGAGTTAGGCAAGATGCCTCTGTTTCCTTAAAACCTTATTTGCCACCTCCCAAAAGTGCTAGGAGCGTTGTGGCCTAGGCTTCCCAGGATAAAACGTACAACGGTTCGACGTTTGAGCACCCAAACGAACGAACCCGGCGAACTAGAGCACGGGACGAACACAGCTACAAGAATGGAGTAGAAGCAGAAGTATTTTGAGGCTTGGAAAAATAATTTTTCTTGTGTGTTCTTGTTACTTTTTTCCCTTTGAAAATTTCTGCTGCACTCTACCCCTTCTTATATAGGAAATGAGGAGTCAATAACTTTTATTATGGCATTTAAGGGCATCCCTACAACTCTTGTAACGGTAACCATTAACATGGGTGTTAATTCAAAAATTAAAATTGAAATTAACTCAAAGAATTAATCCCATAACAGCTGAATTAAATCCCAACAGTCACAAACAAGAGCTTCAGGCCAAACTTTCTGCCTAGGTAGTAGTTTCGGCCTACTACACGAAACATATGATCAAGTTTCGTGGTGGCCCAGGTGGCCCACGAAACAATTGTTTCACACGAAACAAGAAACGTTGTTTCATTTCACACCACGAAAGTTGCATTACAGTGAAACCATTTCTCACTGTTTCACCACGAATTAGTGAAACCATTTCACCAACTAACTTTCGGATAGGAAAATCGCGCACACGAGATTAGGCTTGATCCAAGCCTTTTCGATCTCATTTTTGGGATTTGATTTTCACCCCCCTGCGCGCGAGAGAGAGCCTCTATGCTATACAATTCAATAAGCTTAAAAAGAGCTCATGTATAAATATTGGGGCAAATTCTCTTCCCAAACCAATGTGGGACAAAAGCTCACATTTTCCGTTCATTTTCCAACTCAAATGGGTCAACTTTAAGAATCAATATCTCATTCACCCATTATCCGTTTTGAGCGTACAATATATCAATATCTTCGTCTTACTACGAAGAACCCGAATCCACTTTGACCCGATCCAAATCGGAAGTGGACCCCACTGATAATTGTACCACAAAATAGCCACTTAATATGCCATTTTATGTTATTTTAAGCTATTTTTTCCAACAATATATATATATATATATATATATATATATATATATATATATATATATATATATATATATATCACTGCTGGAAATTTGTCATTTTCCGACCACCGAAAAGTGGTCGGAAACAGCCTTAATTAGGTTGGAAACGCCTGTTCCGACCTCTTTTCCGACCAATTTGGGTATTCGGAAAAATTCCCCTAGCTATTTCCAACCACCAGAGAGAGTGGTCGGAAAGAGTAACCACTTTTCTAAACACGTCGGAAAAAATGGCCAACAGAATAGTTAGGTGCGTCCAGATTTTTCGACCACCGGTGGTCGAAAATTTCAACCACTTTGGTGGTCGGAAATCTGGACGCAGTCAATAAAAAAAATTCATTTCACTACAGAGGAATCCTCTGTAATGAAATATATATATATATATATATATATATATATATATATATATATATATATATATATATATATATATATATATATTATTTGGTGAAAAACATAAAATACACATTTCATATGCTTGAAGATAATTCATTCATCAATATACAATTGAAAATTTAAAACAAGTCAAAATATGGCATTTCTATTAGTCTCTTAAGTCTAAATGTATAAACAGGAAAGACACAAGTTCCCAGGACACATTTGCAGTATGGAAGCAGCTTGTTCCATCATCAGTGTTTCCATTGTCCTTCTGCAGATTAGGCATTTTCACTATTAGGCAGCTGAAAGAAGCAGAAATATATAAACAAGCTAGCTTTATCATTTTCATCTCAGTTTTGAATTGCACTCATGGTTAGAGCTCTCTTAAATGGAGTAATGCAGTTCAACATCATTGCCTCATTTGTTAAACACATGGAATCAACCAACTCATTCAGACATAACAAAGCTTTAGCTTTTACCCAAATTTAAAAATACTAATTTCAGGAGAATAAATTAATAAATTGTTAACTATTGGTCTATTCTTAAGTGGTACTACAAATGAGGTATAAGCATCTATATAAAGTTCTAAACCATAAATGGCTAATAACTATTAAAGTCTTGGACAACAAAAACTCCAAATAAAAGTACTATTATCAAGGTCAAATGAAAGCAATTTCTCAAGTATAAACAAAAGGCAATTGTAACTCAAACCTTGGATATGGTATGCTAAATAAGATTTATTCAAAACTCATGTACCATGGAGTAGTAGGTTACCTTAGTCAAGCCTTTGATTGATTCATCTGTCTCTTCAAATAAGAACCTCTTCAAGACATTATGTACAAAGCTGTCAAAGATTATAAACACTGGTTATGCAAGAGAATTAGCAATAAAAGCAATACACAAGATTCCATTATGAGAAGTTGGAATTGAGCTATATAATCCATACGAGGAAGGCCTCCCACTCTCAAGTTGTAGAGTAACAACAGTTCTCCATGGAAGTGTGAGAAGTGACCGAATCTTGATCCCTCATTTTCTGTCTTGCTTCCCTTCCTCCAATTCAGCTTACCTTAGATATCTTTTGTGCTACTTTCTTCTTTCTTCTCATATGTTTTTACTACTTGCCTCCTGCTTATCTGTCAGTGATCTTTGTTTTGTTAAAGAGAAGGGAGGATAGGAATCCTGCAGACAGTCACAGATTTCCTCATTATTATAAGTAAACAGTAAAATCCGATAGCAGTAGCTCTCCGAAGCTCCATGGAAACTATCACTTGGAAGTTTAATGTACCTTTGTTATTTGTTGCGCCACTTTTGTCACTTGTTGCACTTCCTCTGTCTTCACATCTTCATGAACTTGGTATCCGTTTTCAATTTGCTAGTTGTATAGAAGTTTTACATTCAACACTACTCAGAAAGAAATAAATATCGGCATGTTGTTACCTTTAATGCTGAATCTGCTTGGTCTGAGTTTGCTACATGCTCTACAACTACTCTTTGAGTGCGGAGAAGCTCATTTTCTGACTCCAGATCCCCCCCCCCCCCCCCCGCCGCCCTATTTCTTGGCATCAATCGGTTGTACATCCATTTGCGATGTTTCAGTATATTAGCCTAGAAAATAGTAAACATTAATTTAATAATATTTTAAAATTTGAATAATTCTATATTCTCAAATTGTGTTAATAATATGAGTACTGTATCACTGTTCTTACCTCTACTGGAGATGAAGATGAGTCTATGGATGTTGATACAGCACCCAGCCAAGCTTCCACAAAGAAGAACAAGAAAAAGAAATCCAAAGCTGTGGAAGAGCAAGACTAAATGTATAATTAGTTCCTATTTTATCTAGGGTATAATGATGCAAAATGAGCCACAGAGAGCAAGACTAAAAATGAAGTAGACAGATGTTTCTGATTATAAATGGTGAAACCATAAGTAAAAAATGAATAAATTAGCATGAAGCAAATATGCACACCAAATGTGTAATTAGTTGTATTTCACAAGACCTGGCACTGTAAAATGACAGAAAATCTAGGGAAGGGAAAGGTGTTAAACAGAATAAAAGGAGAATTCTTTCATTAGGGCAAAAATGTATGAATAATAAGTTCATAATTTGTTCACATAGCATAAATAATACATCCACTTTTATTCCTACAGTCCCTCTTTTGGTGAGACTTTATAGAAATTTTAAAATAAATACACCCACTTTTTGTCTTAAAAAAAAAAAAGGAAGCAATGTTCTTTTTCTAAGTTGAAACATAAGAAAATTAATCGAAGAATTGTTTTAGAGAGTGAGCAACAACAAATTTTTTACATTGGAAGTAAGAACACAGAAAGAATGACAGCAGATGAATGCTTAACAACTAGTTTATAAAATGAAAAATGTAAAATGGTTAAGTTAGTCATTTCATGCCATTGCCACAATGTAAGCATTGCTCGTCAATGTATGTATAGCCAACAAAAGATCATGAGTTATACCTGCTACACCTATAAAACATAACTAGTCCAGAAGTTGCAACGAAAACACCCAACCATGCAAATAAAGCACCGCCAGCAGTTAATTTTGGTAGAGTAGGAGCTGTGAATCAAACATAGTTGTAAATATTGAATTTAATCACATGTCAAAGTAATTAATTAGTTTTAATAAAAACAAAAACAAGAAAAAGTTTGCATGAAAAGTTACCCATGATGACTGAATGGATATATGTTACAAGTAGTAGAAAAATTATACACCATAGTATAGGAGCAAAGCCTAGTTTTGAAATTTTCCCAAGCCGGCTGTTCCCATCACAACGTTTTTCAAACATCTTTCTAGCATTTCCCTGCAGAACCACATTTGTCCAAGAAACATTTAGGATCTTTGTTAGAAAGTTGTGCCACAAAGAATCACATCCACTCCAAACTATCTCATCTTATAACCAAACATCGAAACAAACTTACAATAAGCTGAGAGTGTGAAACAATTTGCAAAATAATAATGATGAAGTAGAAAATGATGATGATGATGATGATAATAGCAACAACAACAACAATAATAATAATAATAAAATGAATTTAAGCTATCAATTATTAGAACATAAGTCAAAGTAAAAAGATTTGGTTTGCTAGAATCAGATCATGAATAAGGGATGTCGGAATGTGTAAGTAAGAACTGACAGAAATTGATCTTTATAGGCATTAGTATATTGTAAGTTAAGTGCATAATAATTTTTACCATCTGCTTATGAACATTGTACATTTATAAAGTTGCTGATAAGTAATGAAATAGAATGAAAAAAAAAAAATTGTGGGAGAAAAAGTCTAGCAGGTGAAGCCAAACTCAATTGGAGCTGATACAAACTGGGAAAGCTTGAAATCAGGAACAAAGAAATGATATTGGGGTAGCCAGATGTTTTTATTGTAGCCAGGTGATCTCTTTTTCCGCTTATCTGTAAAATGGCCAGATGTTTTTATGGTAGCCAAGCAATCTTTAACTATAATCTTGGGGTTGTACTGGTTTGTAGACTAGTAAAAAAATACAATAAAATTATATTTTTAAATAAAAAATACTTGCAAGAAAAAGAAAAAAAAATTACTGAGATCATAGATAACCACAATTCAGTTCATATTGAGTCGGAATCAAAATCAGAACACAAGGGTTATCTAGCTCCTATGTCTCCTCATAGTACTGGTTAACTAATAAATCAATAATGACAATGAGCCTCTAAAATTAGGTGACCTAAAGGAGATGCTAGTATTCTAGCCAAGAAATGCTGCTTAGACTTCACAAACCAAAAATTTGACTAAACAAAACACAAATAAGATAGTTAAATAACTAATTTCAAAGCTGTGGAAGTAACTACTATGTAAGATTAACATACAAGCAACAGACCACCGAACCCTGCAACCAAGCAACCCTAAACCACTGACCAAGCAAAACTAAAGGAGGAAGGAGCAGAAGAACTGTAAACTCAGTGAAGATTTTGGACAAAAGTTCATATAACATAAACAAACAACTAGAGAAGTAAAATTTCTGCAGAACAAAGTAAATAAATTCAAATCTTAAATAAAGCAGTAAGCTAAATAAGTTCAGACAGATAATCGGTATAAAATTTCAATCCTAAAAGAAATCTAGACAAAATCAGTTAAGAGAAGTGAAATGGATGTGAGTATGCAACAGATCAGCGAATAAATCAACAAGACAGTAGAAATGCCTAACCTTCTACATTCCCTGAGAGCAAATCCCTCCTCTTGCATTTTCGATGGCGGCGGCAGAACTGGTGCATTAGACGTCGCAAAAGCATCTACGAACGGCTTCTCATCTTTCGGATCGGAGGAGCCTTCAGAAGCGTAGATTGGCGACGAAACAAAGATCGGCTCGTCAGCAAACGGATTCAGGAAACCATCGTCGAATGGAGGATTCGAAGCGTTGGACTGAGAACAGCTGAGGGGCAAAGGGAGAAGACTGAGCAATGAACAGAGCTGAGCAGCGATGGTAGTCTAGGCGATAGACTCAGAGACAGTTGCGAGAGCTTTTTTAAGAGAGGAGTAAGAACAGCTGAGGGGCGGAAATGAAATGAAATCAGGGTTAAGTCTTAAGGGTCTCAAACTCTAACTTTACCAATATATACAATAAATAATTTCTATTTTTTTAAGCATTTCCGACCACAAATTAGAAGGTGGTCGGAAATTCCAACCTTTTTCTGCCCAGTCCACTCTTTCGACGGAAAATTAAAATAATTTCACTTTTTGCGACCATTTTTTGAGTGGTCGGAAAAGTGGTCAGAAAATTGTTAATTTCCAGCAGTGTATCAAAGCTTTATGAGGAAAAATAAGAAGAAAAAAAAGTAAACATTAACCTTAAAATATCGGGTCAATTAACTTAATCACTATACATTAATTAGACAAAATTATTTTAAATGGTAAAAAATTAGATAAATATATATTACTTTCATAATTTTATGTGTTCATCAAAATTATAGGAGTGATAAAGTTCAAATTGAGACAAGCCCTGGTCTAATAGGCAAGCTAATTAGCAAGTTCTGCCCAAACTTTCTAAATTGATAAATAAATAAATAATAAAAATTATCAAGCTTGAATAAATTATCCGTTTTCTTTTCCATTTTTCCCACATGGTAAGAAAAATGCATGTGTAGAGTATATTCTTTTTTTGTTTCTTTTTTTTTTTTTTTTCATTTGGTGTCAACGTGTCATATGGGATTTTCACAATGCTTTAAGCCGTGACGTTTTTATTTTTTATTTTAAAGATCATCTATGTAATGGATTTTGAGGAAATTTTTGCAAAGAAAAAAGTGAATATAAGTTTTTAAAAGGTGGGATTTTTTTATAGTATTTCACTTATAAAAAACTTTTCTTAAGATCTTTTGCAAATCTCACATTTACAGCTGTGAAGAATGTGTAAGTTGTTCCTTTGGCACCTGCTCTTCCTGTCCGACCAATTTGTTGAACAAATTTAATAGGCACGGCCGCCAAGGCCGTCCAAGGCCGTTTGGAACGAGGACGTCGGTTTATGCAGGCTGTTTGAGGTCCAGATCTGGACCTCATGTTTGATAGCCGTGGTTATTCGGCTGTCCTCGCCGGACAGCCACGACTGTCTGTGAAATACGCAACCACCAGTTCTCCTCGTCAGACAGGCAGTGGCTGAAATTCTTTTTTTTTTTTTTTTTTATTTATTTTTTATTTTTTATTTTTAATAATTGAATAGGCAACCGGTTAGCAACCTGTAAATAAAGTTAATCGAACAAATTTAGCTGGTAAGTGTGACTAATTAGACTTTAATTTAGTTCATGGAGGGAATTTAGTTCGCAGTAGTAGATAGACGTATTTAACACTTCTACCTAAATTTAATTTAGCAATACATTCTTCTTCCTTAGCTGTCAAGTTCTAATTATTCGGAGTCAAATCCACTTTGTTTTAGCTCTATTTATTTATTTACTTATTTATTTGTATAAGAAAGAAAATTCTCAATTTCTCAAAGGTATGTACTAGGTAAACTATGTTGTACTAGTATTATGAGGAAAACTCTCAATTACTCAATGGTATTGTATTAGTAGTATGTTTATTAATTATTTCAAATTATTGAGTTAGTTAAGTTATTTTCGATTTTTTTTGAAACATTATTTCAATATTTAATTTATAAAATATCATCATCAATATTTTTTTTAAATAAAAAAATTTACGCTTATATTATGTATATTTTGTTAATTTTGTCCTATGTTTTTTTTTTTTTTAACACAATCTTGTCTTATGTTATTTTACGGTCAAAATTTTAATAACTTGACCTAATTTCACTCAACTTAATCAGGGCAGCTCTGAGCATGTCTAACATGCGCGACCGCACATGGCCTCCAATTTAAACAAAAAAATAATATGTATATATAGGATAGAGAATTTCAGGCTAACTGCGGGGAGATTGGACCAATTAATTTGTGATAGGGTAAAATCGAGCCCAATTGGAAATTACTTTTGATAGTACTAATATCCACGTGTATGCGGTCTAAGTACTAAATGAGAACGAGTAGTAGTAGTAAAGGTTATTTTATTAATCAGAAGGTGACCCAATACAATCTAAATGGCTATCCCGAGGGCCGACTGACTGCGGTCGGGCTGCTTTGTAAATAGCCTATTGGTCGTTCCAAAAGTCCCCCTCACTGTAGCCGCCGTGGGTATTTATAGCCTTTGGGCGGAGACAAACCTCTGGCCTACCGGCATGTAACCCACGTAACGTCCACGCGTCTTCACCCGGTGAACCTTCTCTTCCAACGCCTCATATTGCCACGTGCCTCTCTCCAACATCTCTGTCTCTTTTTAAAGTAAAGGCACGATGACCGGGAAATAACACCAGTCGGGAAGTCTACCGGTTGGGTCCGACCGCCTCGTTTTAACGACGCCCGACCCAAAGATCCTGCACAAACTACAAGAAGAATCTATCTTATGTCGGTCGGGATATATCCTACCAAGAGCCCCCCAGCCCGGGGCGTTTTGAACTGCCCGGGAAAAAACTGGACGGGATGGAAAGTCCTTGTCAATCGGGCTTCGATCCCGACCGCCCAGCTGTTGCTAGTCGCGCCACGTATCGGTCTGCAGGAATTTTGGGGTCTGTAATGGTCAAATCGCGCAAGTGGGCGACTTCCCGCCAAATCTTCTTCTATAAATAGGTCTCCCTGAGGTTCATTTCAACTTTTACAACTCTGTGAGAATCAATCGGAGCTTCCCGAGCAAGCAGCACTGTAGATCGGTCGAGCAACATATTTTTACCTCCCGACAAGCTTCACTTACCGGTAAGTCACTTCTTTTCCCTCTTTTTACTTCTTTATTTTCTTAGTTTCTCATATAACAGCCAGTTCTAGCACCCCACTAACCCCGACCAAAAGTAACCGACCCCTTTCCGCTGAAACGGCGATCTCCTTTATGAAGGGGATATGCCAGACTCGGATAACCTAAACGTTTCGGGGGCGGACTACGATAACACGATCGAGGAAGTTAGTGAAGAAACGATGACAGAGGCATCCTCACCCGAAGTTACCGAAGTCGTTTGAAGATCAAAGGCCACTCCCGAACGAAAAAGCTCTTCTAGGTCTGAAAGCTCGACCAGCTCAAGCGGCTTAAGCAGCGATAGCGATAGCACCTCAACAAGCGGCCGTGAATCCTCTTCCCCTCACGCTTGAGAAACGCCCACGAGCACCATCGGGACCGATCACGGAGCTCACGTTCCTTCACGCGACCGAGAAGCTACGCCCGATCCGGTCGATGAAGAACCGGCCACATCAATAGCCAAAGAACCGGAGTTCGTCTTCCTCAATAGCGAGAGCGTTGAGCAGCAGGAGTGCCTTTTAACGACTCGCGAAGCTGCGAAGATCTCAGCAAGGCTAAGCGGCCGGGTAAAATTCGACACCCGTAGGAGCCTCGGGGGAATTAAAGAGCGTCACCAAGGGAAATGGATCGGGATGCACTTCGACTCATTGCAGGCCCCGATCACGTTCCCCTACTCTCCCTTGCTGACCGCCTTCTTAGGCATTTACAGGGTCTTGCCCGCTCAGATATGCCCGAACGCCCATCGCATATTGGCGTGTTTTCCGCAGATCTGCGCTCGGCACAACGTTACGTGCTTGATGGAGCTGTTTAATTATATCTACACGGTCAAGCCCTTAGCGGCTAAGTACGGTGGCGGATTCCTAATGGTTCAATCCCGGGATCACCTGTGTTCGATCGATGATCTACCCAGGAATAACCGAGGATGGAAGAACAGAATATTCTCGGTCGAGTATGTTCCATGGATTCTCCCGATCGACCGGACGTGGGGGACGCATTACAGGAAGCAAGTGCAACCACCAGCTACCCGGGCCCTTCGCGAAGCAACCTTCCGCATATCGTGTGAGTACTACGAGTATAAGATCTTCCGAACGCGGGAGGCTTAAGACAACGCCCGATTGCCGCCGCCTCGAAACGACCAAGAGCGAAAGTATAAACCTCGATCGATGGGCGTATCGATTGCTGTAGCGGCGCCTCAAGCCGAACCGACCGACGAAGGTCTAACACTAACTATACTTTCCCGGTCATTTCCTGCCGATTGATTGTTATTATTTTTAACCTTATGGTTTATGATTGCAGAGATGGGTCCAACTCGCGGGTTCCCCGAGCCCCCCGAGCTAAGATGACGCTCGGGAAGAAGGCCACTAAAGCCGAGACATCGGCCGGGCAAGAAGCCGACGACGTTTCTGTCCCTACCGCACAACCGCTCGGTGCTTCCACCACCCTTCCAAGCGATACCACGACCGACCCACTAGCCCTCCGAACCCCCGAACGAAAAGGCAAGGAAAAAGCATCCGGGAAGGACATAGAAGAGACGGGCGCTCTTAAGCGTCGTCGCAAACAAAGCCCTCCGAGCGGAGTCGTCGCAAACAAAGCCCTCCGAGCGGAGTCGTCTCGAGCGGGGAACAGTCTCTCCTTACCCGGCTGAACAATCTACAGCCGGTCGGGGAGGATAGGAGCAAGCGGACACCGGCGCAAATAGCCGAGAGGGGTGCTCAAGACCTGGTCGAGGTTTGTTTTATTGCATCTTCAACTTTATTTTCAACTTTAGTCGCTCGAGCTAACTTATTATTTTTGTAGGTATCCCGAGCAATTCAGAGCCTCCAATACCGAGCCTTGTTGGCCAACGAGGCCGAGGCTTTGAAGAAGGTCGCCGAGCGGCGAGGGAAGGAAAACGCCGAGCTTCAACAAGATCTGAAGGCGGCAAAGGATGCCCTACCGATCGCTGAGAAGGCCGCTCGGGTTGCGCTGAAGGAAGCAGGTGAACTGAAGACCCGATTGGGCAATCTGGAAGGGTTGGCGAAGTTCCTCTGCCGTGATGAGTCTACGCCGACACATTCTTCCGAGCCTTGATGAAGAATAAGCTCGGGGAAGAAAAGATTTGGACGTCCGGTCACTGGGCCGATGTGTCCGACCAACGGGCGATGCGGGTAGAGACCCGGTCGATAATGGAGGAGGTCTTCGAGGGCGAAGATCTAAAGGCGGTGTTAACCACGCTTCCGGACGAGATTCCCGATCCTAGCCCGACGCCCTTCACCGAGCCGTCCACCTCTGGAGTTGCAGCCGAACCGAGCACCGGTGACTAAGATGAGGGGAAGGGCGTGTAGTCCCCGACCGACCTTGTAATTTTCGTTTTAAGTTTTGTAAACTTAACTCAGTCGGGAGCCCAGTCCCGTTTGTATAGGGAAACTTTTATTTTAAATGAATGAATTGCTTCTCTTAGTTTTTGTCTTTTATGAACTTTTTCATTTTGGTAATCAATTGATTAATTTGATTACCCTCCCTAGCCGCCACACTACCGGACACATGAGGAACGAATGAGTGCGAGAGTGTTTTAGGTAGGTTGATCGGGCAGATCCCGGATGCCCTGTTCTCCCGAACGATGGCCTGACACGATTGTCAGCCGAAGAAGAGCGTTTTCTTCCGGACGTTATAAGTTTCCCGGATGAGATGTAGAAGACTTCAAAATCTGTTAGGTTTTTACCCCTATCGGTCGGTGCCGAGTGAGGGGTGTGTACCTGTATCGGCTGTAACTAAAAATTTTAGATCCCGGTATAATCGGGTAAGTTTTAGCGACATTGTGGTCGTTGGGCTTTTGCCCAACTTGATCGTTGATGCTGAGTTTTGGTCAAATATTTCACAATCAAAATAACTTCCGAAATGGATTTAGCCGAACTACTTGCTATTTACACATCTTGACAGTCGGTTGAGCCGCCGTGCACAGACGAGCGAGCAATCATAGATCGACAATACATACTTTATTCCCGTACGCAGACGGACATACAAATTTTACATATAAAATAAAAGATGGGCGTGCCCACTCGCAGGTTGAGCCCCTAACCCATCCGAAGTTACATAACAAAATCAATGTCGAAATAAGACCAAATTCTCATAATTCCATGTGCCATCAATCACTATCCCGGTTGTTGTTTCCAATCGATAAGTGCCCGGGCGAACGACCGATGTGACCAGATACGGTCCCTCCCAATTCTGGGATAATTTGCCTCCTTCCAGGGGTTGACTCGCCTCTCGTCATCGCAGTACATAATCTCCGACCTGGAAGTACCGCGGATGAACCCGCACGTCTTTAGTACTCTTCACTCTTTTTTGATATTCGGCCATGCGTCTAGCCACGATTTCTCTTTTCTCCTCCACACCATCTAGATCCACGACCAAAGAATGTTCGTTCCCTTCGGCATTGTATGACCGCTCTCTAGCCGTCGGGATCCAATCCTCGATTGGTAGGCGCGCCTCAGCGCCGTAGACTAGAGCGAACGGTGTTTCCATCGTTGCCTCTCTAGGGGTCGTGCGATATGTCCAAAGCACTTACGGGAGCTCCTCGGCCCAACTACGACCAGCTGAGTGCAGTTTCTTCTTTAGTCCTTCCAGGATGGTTCGATTGGCATTTTCCACCTGAACGTTTCCCTGCGGGTAAGCTACCGATGATCGGATCGAAGTTGTCCCGATTATCGCCAAGAAGTTCTGAAAATATTGGCTCACGAATTATCGACCATTATCACTTATCAAGTGAACGGGGACACCAAACCGAGAGACCACATTCCGCCATAAAAACCGTGCACATTGTTGAGAAGTGATCGTGGCCAAGGGCTCGGTCTCAATCCATTTTGAGAAATAATCAATTGCCACTATAACAAAGTTCCGCCGTCCGGACAATTGCGGAAAAGGCCTCAAGATATCCACCCCCCATCGAGCGAACGGGATTGCAGTCGTGACCGATTGATAAAAGGTTGCCGGACGACCAGGCATCCGAGCTTAAAGTTGACATGTTTCACAACTTCTTGCAAGCTTTTCACAATCTAACTGAATGGACGGCCAATAATACCCGATCACCATGATACGCTGAGCAAGCGAGCGAGCTCCCTGGTGCGACGAACATATGCCGAGTGTAACTCGTTCATGACTAGGTCTGCTTCAAAAGAGTTCAAACATCTCAACAAAGGACCACCATACGATCGTCTGTACAAGCGTCCATCTTGCACTTGGAATCTTGGTGCCCTTAATTTCGCCTTCCGAGCCCGTTGCGGATCGTCCGGTAAACGGTCATGCAGCAGATAGTCCATTAAGTCAGAGATCCAAGTTTCTTCAGCCGGTTGAATCGAGATGACCGATAATCGATGAATACTGCGTCTCGGAATCACCAAAATGCGAGCAATCTTAGACATATGCTCAGGTGCATCTTGTGCTAGCTTCGATAGGATATCTGCATCGGCATTACCCAGTCGGGGAACATGGCGGACAGTATACGCCCGGAATAAGTTCAGTTTCTCCATCGCTAAGTCAAGATAATCTTGTAATCGTTCTCCATTGACCTCATATTCACCAAGGACTTGCCCCACCACCAACACTGAATTAATCTGTGCTCGGATATAATCAGCCCCCAAATCCCGAGCGCATTGTAGGCCATTGACAAATGCCTCATACTCTGCTTCGTTGTTGGTCGGGGTAAACTGATACATTAGAGCGTAGTAAACTTTAAACCCCTCCGGGCTCGTGATCACAACTCCTCCGCCCGCTCCCTTTTTACTACTCGACCCACCGGTGGCCAATGTCCACCAAGCTGCTTTGAGTATCCTGAGCAGTGCATTCGACCAAAAAATCGGCCAAAGCCTGGCCTTTGATAGCCGGTCGCGGTTGATAGTCTATAGCATATTGTGTCAACATTAACGGCCATTTGACTAAGCGTCCGGATGAAGAAGCGGTGCGAAGGACTGCTCCGATCAGTTGGTCCGTCAAAACACGTATGACTCGTCCTTGGAAATAAGGAGCCAATTTCTTCGCCGTCGTATATAAGGCATAAACAATCTTTTCAAGACGGGAGTAGCGAAGCTCCGGACCATGGAGCGCATGGCTCACATAGTAAACCTGTCGCTGAACCCCCTCCGGATCTGTCCGGCATAGCACCGCACTGACAGCCCGATCGGACACGGCCAAGTAAACGTCAAGCTCTTCCCCGGGCTCGGATTTAGACAGCACAATTGGGGACATCAAATACTCCTTCAAATCATCGAAAGCTGAACGACATTCATCGTCCCACACAAATCCGTTGACCTTGCGTAGCACTTTGAAGAATGGTAAGGCGCGTTAAGCCAACTTCGAGAGGAACCTGCTCAAGGCCGCCAATCTCCCGGTCAACTGTTGCACCTCCCGAACGGTTGTGGGTGGTTGCATGTCGAGGATTGCTTTAACTTTGGCGGGATTTGGCTCAATCCCTCTCTTCGTCATCATATAGCCTAAGAATTTCCTGGTCTGTACAGCGAACGTGCACTTGGTCGGGTTCAAATGTAGCTGGTACGTTCGCATAATCTGGAAGCACTGTCAGAGATCACGAGTATGGTCCGCTCGGTCCCGACTCTTCACAAGCATATCATCAATATAAGCTTCTATGGTCTGGCCTAGCAGGTCTTCAAAGAGCATGTCGGTCATGCGCTGATATGTGGGTCCCGCATTGCGTAGGCCGAACGGCATAACCCGGTAACAATATAAACCATCAGGCGTGATGAATGCCATTATACACTCGTCTTCATGGTTCATCATGATCTGATGATAACCATTGAAAGCATCCATGAAGCTCATTAGCTCGGCCCCGGCCGTTTCATCAACTATCTGATGAATGCTTGGTAGGGGATAAGGATCCAACAGGCACGCCTTATTCAGATCGGTGAAGTCAATGCACATTCTCCAGGATGGAGGCTTAGGAACCAACACTATATTGGCCTCCCACTCGGGATAAGTGACCGGGCGAATGTGCCCGATCGCGGCCATCTTCTTCACCTCTTCGCGGACAAACTCCCGGCGATCGGAAGACAAATGCCTAGTCTTCTGTTTGATCGGTTTAGCGACGGGATCCACAGCCAACTGGTAGCAGATAACAGTTCGGTCGATCCCGGGCATATCCTCGGGCCCCCATGCAAATAAGTGTTCTGAACCACTCGGCTGCCCGACCAAAGTCAAAACAACTTATGGTTTGATCATTACCTTATTCATGACCTTTTTTTTTTTTTTAAAAATAATCTTTAGAAGGCTAATTTGGAGAAAGAATCAAGGGAGTTGATTGAGATCTTGACAAACATTTATTCATGCAATGTACCTTGGGAAGGTTTTTGAATTTTCAATCATACAAGGAAATTAAGTTTGTATTACGATTCTACAAGGAGAGAGATACAACTTGAAATTATCCTTTCAAGGGAAGAAATTAGTGTTATTGTACATCTTTCGTGAATGAGGATTTTCTTAAACTATAGGAGTTACTAAGGAGGTAAAAGTGGTTTTAGAAATTAAAGAGGGTAGTGTTCTTGATGGATTTAATTAACTCGGAGTAGCCCGAATTATTAAACCTAATAATAAAGTAAATGGATAATACAGTAATAAAAGACAAGGAATAATATATGTCGCGGAGACAATTCTTGTATTCATAATAGTTTGTAGGAGAATTACAAGGAAAATGTAAAGATTAGACAAGAAATTGAATGATTTTATAACAAAGCCCCCTATAACCGCTCCATGAGAATAGGGTGGGCGGTTGGATCCCCTTTGACCGGGTCCGCGTGCACACGCCCGAGGCCGAGGACACCTCAACCGAGGCTGCCCTTCAACGTAGACCCATCGGGACGTAGCTGCCCCAACCGAGGTCGACCCAGCCAAGTCGAACTTGACCGAGGTCGCCCTTAGCCTCCAAGATCACATCTCCTCTTTTTCATCGGGTCGGTTTGCCCTAAGCCCGTTTCTAATAAATCCATCATCAATACCCCACTCTCCGAGTTGCGAATCTTCTGCAGCGAAGGAGAGTAGTCCCGAACCAAAATCCAACTCAAAATTACAAGAATAATTACTTGTTGCAACCCCTCTTCGTGCATCCTTACATGGGACTGCCTCCCTTCATGTTGGTGATGTCCCCTGGAGGCACGTGGCGGAGACCCTTCCTTGACTCCTCGCCTAGAGGACACTCACCTACCTGGTGACATGGCCGCCCTCATTTAGCACCCAGCTAGCACTGAGCACCCCTAGCCGAGCTCCCCTCCATATGCCTAGATTAGTGTTCCTATATGTTTTCGCCATGTATTTTGGATTCCTTGGTTTGTGAATGAAACTTCTGATTTATGCGCTCGCTTTACTTCTTTCATGCATTTTTCCTTGATGTGTTCTCATCTTCGGCGAGCCCATGAGACGGCCCCCTTGATGTGTACTCGTCTTGGGCGAGCTCATGAGGTGATCTCCTTGATGCGCTCTAGTTTTGGGCAAGCTCATGAGATAGTCACCTTGACGTGTCCTCGTCTTGGGCGAGCTCATCATGAGATGACCTCCTTGATGCGTCCTCGCCTTGGGCGAGTGTAATACCGAGTTATTTTATATGTATTATTTGTACAAAGATATTATTTTATGGGACCCAAAACTATTTTAGACTAGTCTACTATTATTTTATGGATATTACTATTACTAATATAATATAATATCTAATTTTTGAATTCTCAAACTAATATGTTTTAATTAAATAAACTTAAAGTTTGTATATATCTGTGTGTGTGTGTGTGTGTTAGTCTTGTACGGTTGAAGTCTTAATATATATGTTATGTATGTTAATAGGTTAATATGTACTTACCAGGACTATGTGGTCTAATGGTACTCGGGTTGGACTTCTATTTGGAAGATTATGAGTTCAAGCCTCAATGGAGGCGTTATTGATTTTTTGTGTTTCAGTAGGTTGAGAAAGTATATGAACAGTTACTACAATATAATAGAGCCAGTAATGGGTTGAGTCTCTCTTGTCCCTTGTTGTTTTATGGTTAATATAATAGAGCCAGTAATGGGTTGAGTCTCTCTTGTCCCTTGTTGTTTTATGGTTATGCTTCGGGGACGAAGCATCCTTTTAAGGAGGATAGATTGTAATATCCCGTTATTTTATATGTATTATTTTGACATAGATATTATTTTATGAGACCCAAAACTATTTTAGATTAGTCTACTATTATTTTATGGCTATTGCTATTACTTAACTTCATATTACTAATATAATATAATATCTAATTTTAGAATTCTCAAACTAATATGTTTTTATTAAATAAATATAAAGTTTTACTATATATATATATATATATATATATATATATATATATATATATATATATTAGTCCTGTACGGTTGAAGTTTTAATATATATGTTATGTATGTTAATAGGTTAATATGTACCTAAACTACAATATACATATGTGAGCTTAAGCCTAATAGATATATAATTACTAGTTGTGCCTAATACTTAATTAACCTAGGTTAGTATTCTGCCGAATGAAAACTGATGTGGATAATTCACCCATGAAGTTTATGTGTACTCTATTGTGTATAGAACATGCATGAACATGTGAAAATGAAGAGAGAAGATGGAGTAGTTTATGTGTACTCTATTGTGTATAGAACATGCATGAACATGTATGAAAATGAAGAGAGAAGATGGAGTATATGAACAAGGAACAAAAGATATAAGAAAGCAAGGTTCTTTTATTAACGTGTGTTCTTGCAACTCTAGAGAGGGTAGAGAGAGTGGAGAGGAAAAGCCCCTAACAATGAGGGCTAAGGCCTTATTTATAGGCCCAAAGGTTGACGGGTTTGACTTTGACCCATTTACCCGAATCGTTTGACTCCGACCCAAACAGGAGCACGGAACGTACGGAGAGGCTGAACCCGGGGTATAATCCCCATCAAAAACAAAGGAAACAAAACCCTTGAGAATCCACCTTTCGTTTCTCAATTCCCTAATCAGCAGCCGATGCCGACCTATTCTCCTTCATCACCAATTCTTCCTTTCGGTGTCATTGGAATTCTTCCTGTGTCATTGGAATTCAGGTAAGATTTATGTTCCCTAAAATTTCTTTTACCCCAAATCAAAAATCACTTTTCCTATCTGTTTATGTGATTCATGATTGTAATGAATTTGTGATATTTAATGTGGAAAGTTATTTGATTATATTATGTGAATAGATATATGAGTTTATATGTTTTGAAAACCCTGCATATGTGATATGGTGATTAAAAAGGAAAAAAAAAAGTTTACTCAATTTGATCATTGCGTGAGAAAATTTTGACTGGCACAGCTGGAAAGAAAAATTCGTGAAAAATGCTTCCTAAACTTATTTTTGCTTCATTGTTTTTTTTGGAGAACCCAGATTTGTTATATTTGATGTTTGTAAAAAGTTTTGGTTAAAAATACGTTTCAGTTTTTCCATAATATTTCAGAAAGTGGAGGCAGTGTGCTGCCAGTTCAATTTTTGTCTGGCGCAGTGTTAGAAAATATTTCGGGAAAAATACTTGTAGACCTTGGATTGACTTGAAATTTTTTGTGTATAATCTAGACTTAGTGTCCCTCATATCTGAAAATTTTCATGTAGAAATTTGTTACCGATTGTTCTTATTAAATTTTGCAATTCAGGTTATACCTTCTGACAAAATATATTGTGTGAAAAAATATATTGTATATTACAGAATATGTATTGATGCCGCACGTATGTGTGTAATATATATATATAGGAAAAATATATATAACTATTGTATAAATGTCTGTGATTGCCGTATGTGTGTATTCATTTCATCATAACAAAATGTTTAACTATTACTTGTTTATACTATGCCGTATTGCTTAAAAAAAAAAAAAAAAAAAAAAAAAAGTACACGTGTTCAATTATGTGTATATGTGGGTGTGAATATAGCAATTTATTTTTTAAAAAAAATATTTTTTTAAATATACATGTACTGTACGTACATATGCTACTTACTTATTATTATGTTTTGGAGAATATATATTTTGGAGAAATCAAATATTTTGAGGAAAAGATATTTTGAAGAATTTGTACTACCTCTATATTGTGGACTAAAACTGACTTGGGAAAAATTATGTGGAGAAAAATATGATTGAAAAATCTATATTTTTTCTTCTGGAAAATTTCATGTGGAAATGTGTTACCGATTTTTCTTAGTAAATTTTGCAATTCAGGTTATACCTTCTGAAAATTTCTGTCAATTTCTTATTTGAATTGTTGAGAATTTGCTTGCTTGAGAAATAATAGTAATGTTATCATTTTTATAAAGATGGAGGATAAAGAAAAATGGATTCTTAAGAATTGTCTAGTATCCTGTTATGAAATTCTGGATACTTGGGTTATGACCCAGTTTGTGGTTTGTTGTGGAGTGAGCGGTTGAATATACCGACTCAATAGTGAGCTTAAAAACTCTCTGTTATTTTTGAGTAGTGAGCAGTGGATCGAAACATATCCTGTCTCACTAGGACTTTTAATCCTGTTATTTTGAGGAGTGGTTAGCGGAGTCTACCAGTAGGGTATCTACCCTGTTGAGTAGTAGTCAGTGGAAACGTATCCTGACTACTACGACTAGTTACTACCCAATGAGCTTGGAAACCCATTAGGGGTGTGCACACTTAAGGTATTAGTTCTGTTCCACTTTAATAGGATTTTTGCGTAGTGTTCAGTAGAGTGAAGTTCACTAGGGCTTATTGAATAAGACCTTGCCCATTATTTGGTTGGCTTAAATGGGATTTCTGCGTAGTGTTCAGTAAAGTTATTACTGTTCTCTAGCGCTTAAATAATTAAGACCCTGCCCATTATTTGAGATTGAATGGGATTTTGTGTAGTGTTTAGTAGGGTGATTACTGTACACTAGGGTTTGATGAAACAAGACCCTGCCCATTGAGATTGGTGTTCCTCTATTTTGGAAAAAAATATATTACGTTTGAAATGTTTCTAAAATTCTTATTGTGAAAAATACTGATTTGGTATTATTGATGAAAATAAAAATGTTTAAGGGGTCATTCTAGATGCAAACTATCTGCTCCTATGTGTTACATGCTATGTGCAAAATGTTTTACAGGGTGAAGTAGATCTTACAAGCTTTATGCTGAATTTGTGTGTTTCTTTGTTTTCTATTCTTTAAATGTTTTTGCAGGAACTCTTGCTTGAGCATTGGGCATAAGAATGAGCGAACCACCTAGAGAAATCATTTATTAGTTAGACAGTTGAATTGTTAATTGTTTTTATACTAGTACATATCTTGAGTTGTTTATTGCAAGTTGTAAATTTAGCCTTAGCACTTAGGTTGGTGGTTGACTAAGTGTGGCGGTAACACCCATTTTCTTTTGATTAGTTAATGTTTCCGCTATGAGTTTAGTAAATTGTAAATTAAGAAAAAAAATTTAAGAAAATTTTGGATATGAAAATTGGGGTTCAGGAATTCCAAATACGTTCTAACACGATTCCTAAACATGCCAAGACTCCACACTAATCATATAACGGTTCAGGAACATCCGGAACCACAAGAACATCAAGAAATCTATATGCAAAGTCCTAAATACAAGTCCAAGGCTAGACTCAACACCCGATCATGCATAATCCCACCTAAATATACCAAGAACATCATAATACGAAATTCACGATATAAACCCTAGGGTTCTAGACATAATTAAAATACAAGATCATACACATAATCAATCACAATATCAAGAACATCAAGATTATCAAATAAGCACAATATAAATCCTATGCAAGGGCTCTATCAAGACTCAATCACATAATTAGACGTACGATTATTAAAGGAGCCAATGAATAGGATATAGCAAGAAAAATAGGTTTTGTAAGACATGGGTTACCTCTTAGCCCTAATGAATATCCTTGGCTACTAAGGTTCTTCCCTAAGATCTCCTTCCAATGGATTTCTCCAAGTTTGGTGGCAGGGAAATTCCTTTGCTAGGTTTCCTCGGGAATATCTCTCATGGTAATATTAATTGTGGTAGGGTTTCTAAATGCTTCCTAATTCCCTATATATATAGATTCAGGAGTCATAACTAGAATCTGAATAATAAATGCCCACTTTTCCTAGAAGAAGAAGAAGAAGAAGAAAAAGAAGAAGAAGAAGAAGGGATTTTAGGGATTTGGTGGGGGTTAAGAGGGTTGGGTTCCCTTGAAGTGGGTTGGGTTCCCTTGAAGTTTTAAGAAACACTCATGGTCTAAGAGCTTGGTTCTCTAAGTGGGAGGCTTAGGGTTTAATTTTCATTGGTTATATTAGTATTTTTTGTGCACTCCTTTTATGCTTTTGAGGGTTTTCTATTATTCATTTGTCTTAGGGTGGGAAGAGTCCCGATTAGGCTTTCTAGTTGCACCTATTGATCTTACCGAGTGTTGGTTTCGGGATTCATAGATCTGTAGGAGGCACGAATTTAATCCTTCAATCAATCCGAGGGGCAGAGTAAGAGGGATTCAAGCTTATTGAACTAATTAACTTGGCTTTTATTAAAAGTATGGGGGTTCTAAATAATCGAACTAAATAAGCGGTTATACTAAAAGGTAGTTTACAAGGGTTCGTAGTTCATCTATCATAGACAGAATTCTTCTTCCGGATTCTCTTCCAACTGGTTCGTATGGTCCTCGTCTCCTAGGGCTACGTTTTCTGCGTCGATCCCAACTTCGGCTTCGAGGTCGGCTTGGGTGCGACTGATGACGAACACCTTTCTAGGTGCCCCGTAGTTCCCTCGATTGTTCACGTTCCCCGATTAGACCGCGACCGTGGGCTTTGCACTTGGGGGTTGGTTACACTGGAAAGCCTTGTGTCCTTCTCCTCCGCAGTTGAAGCACTGTAGGGTGTTTCCGATACAATCCTTGCCCCTATGATCCTTGTTACATCTACTGCAAAGGAATTGTTTTACGTTGGCTTCGTTGTATCTCGTAAGCGGTCCTTGGTTTGGCGGGTTGGCCGCTCTTGCGTTGGAGTCGTTCTGGGTCCTTTTCACAGTCCGTCCCCCACTTCCGGTATTCCTTTTGCGGATTTGTTCTTGGACTCCCTGTTGTAGAAGCTGGATCTGGTAAAGGTCGGCGACGCTAGTTTAAGCCTCGTTAAAGGTTCTGGGCTTACTTATGGTTAGAGCCTTTCGAGCTTCGAAGTTGAGGCCCGCCACAAACTTCTCTATTTTAGTCGCCTCTGTAGGCACCAATTCTGGTGCGAAACGAGCTAGCTCAAGGAATCGTTTGTGGTATTCCATGACCGTGATCACTCCCTGTTTCAGGTGGAGGAATTCTTCGTACATGGCTGCCCTTATGTGTGCGGGGTAGAACCGTCCCCGTAATCGTGCCTTCAAGGATTCCCAGTTGAATCCCGGTTCTTTCTTACAAGCAGGTCCTTCGTGAACCCACCAAAGATTGGCCTCGTGTCCGAAATAGAACGAGGTTAATTCCACACGGCGTCCCTCCGGGCACTCCACTACCTCAAAGAACTTGTCAAATGTTCGGATCCATTCTTCAAGGGTCGTGGGATCTTCTTCCCCTGAGAAGATATGCGGGCGATGGTTTGAGACTTGGCGAGCTATATCTGAGTTTCCGTTTTGCGGCAGTGGTCGGTTGTTGATATGGAGGATGGCGTTGCTCTGTGTCTGGGCGACCTGGTCAGTTGTTGTAGGTTCAGGGGTTCTTGACTGACTCCTTGTTAGGGCCATCCCGGTGTCTACAGGATCAACACCGATCGTAACGATAAGTTAGGGACTTGCATCCTTACCTTGGTGTTATAATTTATAAGGGGCTTTCAAGCTAAGCACAGAATATATTAGGGAGAAGTTAAGCAGGTAATGTTAGATAAACTCACAGTCTCACCTCGTGTCCTAGACTTCCTAGATCCTATGTATTTATGTACCTAGAGTCCGAACTTAATGCCCTAAAGTCTTGTCCTTTGGGGTCTTATCCTAGGGTCGAACTTAGGCTCCGATACCAACTGTAACACCCCTAAATTTTAAAATATTTAAAGCCTATAAAGTAAATGCGAATCTAATGTTAAATCCCAAACAGAGCATAAACGAAACATAATAGTCGGGGTGCTATGCCACATCTAAGTTAGGGAACTTAGATGCACAGGCTAACTAACTGACCAAAGTATAAATCCATAGATCCATAATTGAGTACAAATCAAGGCACGCAGGCCGTCTTACTGAAAACTACAACTATCTAAGCTAAGTACGGGAATCCAACTAGCGCACTCCGAGATACTGATCTGAACCTGAAAACATGCGGTGTAACAACCGTCAACGAATAATGCTGGCAACCCACTCCAACGCGTTAAGTACAATATAGGTAGATATAAGGGCCCATGATCCATTGTGGACCAGATGAATTAATTAATGGGGATTCTAGTCTAATTAAATCCTTTTTAATTATATGTTAATGGACATAATTTCATAATTAATCCGGGTACAAGGCCGTAACACGGGGTGTTACACCACCCCCTCTCTACGAGTAGTGAAAATGAGTCCACGGTGAATTTTTACTACTTTCATTGAACGGGACGGACCACCTCAAGAACAAAATCA